TGTGGCCCATCCACTGCAGCCTAAAGGGGGGCGCTGCTGAGGGGAGGCCGTGAGGGGAGCTGTCCCTGGGCACCCCTCAACCCACCCTGGAGCCAAATGCTCTCCAGCACAGGCAGCCCTGGCACCTGTACGCAGACCATTCCTCCCAGGCTGGACGAAGACTTATGTCAGCTGGAAGGAAAGGAAGTCCTTTCAGAGACTTTTTAAGACTAAGCTTAAAATCCCCAGGTCTTAATTTTGTATATGAAACCTTCACCGATGGATTGACATTCTTACAAGATAGAATTAGTAAACTGGGTTAAGATATTGATGAACTTTAGATTTTGCTAAGTTATGTATATGTGGCAAAATTTCAAGAGTAACCACTCTGGAAAGGAGCTGAAATAGAATACCTCACTTTCAGAGCAGTAAAGGGAGATATAAGCAAATAAAGAAAACTGATGAACAATTCCACCAGGGCTGAATTTGCTCGAAGTCAGCTGACCTTGGTACACCCAGCCCCATCACCCTGAAATGCACATGAGTCTTTCCAAATCCTCTCCTGAGCTGAGGCAGGGACAGCAGCCTCAGGGCCATATGAACCCCAGGAAACTATATACATACTATGTTTAGGGGCCACGGGGTGGCCAAGCAGATGGCCCCAGATGCCAAAATATTCAGCCCTATCACGGGTGCTCATACGCCTCCGGTGCATGCGTGGTATTCGTGCATGAGTACTCAGGTTTCAGGACACGTGGCCTTCCAGGACCCCACATTCCAGCCTCTGCAGTGCCCAGAAAGGCAAGAACTGAGGTCCAAGGAATGGGACTTTGGACCCTTGCCACTACCCATGGACAGCCAGCTGCCCACCCTGGGGCTTAGGAAGGATGACTGAGCCTCCATAAGCCCAGGGTAGTATGTCCCTGACTCCCCATCACTGCTGCCCCAGGGGCCTGCCCCACCCAGCACACAGGCCTGCCAACTTCATTAAGTCTAACCAAGTGCAAGATGGCCTCTGACTTCACTGTCTGACTTCATCTTTAACAGCTCCGTCTGGAGCTCAATTAATCAGCAGCCATCTCCTCTTCACAGCAGAATGCTCCAGACACACAGTGACCAGCCTGTCACCCCTCAGACTCACCCCTGCCCCTCCCTGAGTCTAGAATGTCTAAGCGCAGGGCAGTGACCTCCAGGAGGGGCCCAGAGGAATGTCTCAGGCTGGGAAAAGTAGCACTGGTCACAGGGACATCCCACAGACCCACGTTCCCTCCCTCATCTCCCTGCCTCTCTCTTCCCAGACCTAGTCCGGGAAGGTCCCAAATGGTGTGGACACAACTCTGAGGACGTTCTGGGTTCATGAACAAGAAGACTTCCAGAAGCTAAACATGGAAGGGGAACCAGGCAGGGGGCTACAGGGCATCACTCCTGAAAGTTCATCGCTGGAGTGGACTAGGGCCCCCTTCCCCTGTGTATCCACCCGTGCTCTCCTCTGTCCCCTCCCCTCTGGGCCACCATCAGTCTTGTCTAGTAGATAAACATCAGATGTGCATTTAATTTATGAGAATCCAGCTACAGGTTTTCAGGCCCACTACAGATCAAGTGATTTCAATTTAAATATTGTAATTAAGAACACTGGAAAATTCTATCTTGCACATGAACTCTTTGTTAGACACTGTGGCAAGTGCCATGAGAGCTGAGGTAGGGGAGGCAGCCCCATGGTGATGGCGCTTGACTGGCATCTTGAAGGGCGAGTGTGCTAAGTGAACAAGATGGGGGGGGGACAGCAGGCACAAGGAACAGCATGAGCAAAGAGAGTGGTGTGGAGAGCTTCCCAGAGGGCCTTGCACTCTGCCTCCTCACTGCCCCTCGGATCACATCACAACCACCAATCTCATCAGGTTATTCCCAGCCTGACACAGCTGCTGTGGCTCTCCACTGCCCTTCACATCAGATCTAACTCTTTAACCCATCAGACACCTCCATCAGCCTCTCACCGCTGCCTCCCCCATCACTACTGCCCCCATACAACCCCCTGTACCAGCTGGGCTGTGTTCTTTGCCATCTGGGAAGCCATCTGCCGTCCCCCAGGCCCTCTTGTGCACTTGTCTGCAGGGAGAAAAGACCCTGCTGTCCTTCCCGTGAGAGGAGCTGACCCTCGCGGCTGCCCTCCACCCAGGCACAGCCTCGAGTGACTCTTCCAGAAGTGGGGGATGGGGTCAAGGGCTCAGAGTTAGCTGGGCGAGAGGAGGACACCCGGATCCACCCTCACCAGCTCCGCCACAAACAGGACTCTGTCCTGGGCCTCAGTTTCCACAGCTGCAAACTTGGCTAACAACAGTTCCCCCTTACAGGGCTGCGTGGAGACTGCAAGGGAAAATCCATGAGAAAATTCCAGCAAGAGCTGGGTGCAGAGCTGGGTGCCACCAGTACCTCCACCTGAGGACGGCTGGGCCCCCTGCCCTGGACCAGAGAGGCCTCCCACATCATGTGTGCACCCAGAAACCACTGCAGGCATGCAGTGTGGTGGCCCTCAGTCCCCGGTCCCCGAGGCCGGCCAGGCTGACCGGTGCTTCTGCTTCATAGCCCCACCATTTCTTCTGGAGCTGAACATCCCCACAGTGTGACCTGGCAACTGCACCACCAGGATTCCACCCAAGAGAAATGAGTGTATGTACACATCCACAAAAAGATGTGTTCCAGAATGTTCACAGCAATTTTTTTCACAATCACCAAAAACTGGAAACAGTCCAAACACCCATCCACAGGAGGACAGATGAACAAAGTGTGGTACAACCGCACAATAAAATACTACTCAGCATTAAAAAGGGAACAAAACCCAGTGCACCCAACCACCTGAGCAAACCTCAAGAGCACAGTGTTGAGTAGCAGACCCTGGATGTGAAAGTGCACGTGCTCTGTGGTTTCATTCATGTGAAGTTCAAGAACAGTCACCTCTAATGTGAAAGGTGTCAGAGCAATGGTTACCTCAAGGGGTAGGGGCAGACTGGGATGGGACACAAGGGAACTTTCTGGAAGGATAAAAATGTCCTCTATCTTGCCTGGTGTGGTGGTTACACAGTATATCAGCTTCCCACTGCTGCTGTAATAAATTATCACAAACTCAGTTACTTAAAACCAGACAGTTCTGGAGGTCAGAGGTCTGAGCTGGGTCTCACTGGGGCAAAATCAAGGTGTCCACAGGGCTGTGTTCTTTCTGGAGTCTCCAGGGGAAAATCCATTTCCTTGCCTGTTCTAACTTCTAGAGGACACCTGCACTTCTTGGTTCGTGTCCCCTGCCTCCATCTTCAAAGCCAGCAACTTAGCAGCTCTCAGCCTCTTTCTGACTCTGACCCTCCTGCCTCCCCTCTTCACTTATAAGGACCCGTGGGGTTACACTGAGCCCACCCTGATAATCCAGGACAGTCTCCTCTCTCAAATCAAGTGTAATCACACTTGCAAAGTCCCTTCAGCCATGCAAGGCAACAGAGTGTGAATGTTCCAGGGCACTAGGACGTGGGCATCTTGGAGGGTCGTTACTGGGCCCTCCACATGTGGATATACACATACATGGTGCGTATATGGTATATACATGTGTGAAAATCCATAACCGGCACACTTAACATTTGTGTGCTGTACTGTAGGTAAATTATACCAATGAGAAGAAGAAAGAGCAAACAAGAAGGGCTCCTATCACCTGGGCCTCAGAGGTCACGTACATCCCATAGACGTCACATCCCAGGTATGGCTTCGCAGGCACCATCTCACTTAATCCTCACACCCGCCCTGCACCATTACCCTGCTTTACAGAAACAGGTGTGATGAGACAGAACCCTCCCTCACAGCTGGCAGGAGGCAAAGCCAATTTGAATCCAAGCTCTGCTTGCTCCCCAAGGTCACCAAAGACCCCTGCTGCAGGGACCAGGAAGGCGACACAAAGGAGAGAGGTTTTCCTCATGCCCCACTGTTATTGCCCCCATTGTTATTTTGGGTACAAGAACATCCCCCTAACTCAGGTCTAGGAAGAACAACAGTGTGAGTGGGACGAGAGAAGGAAGTCGAGACAGGGACCAGAGGAGTGATGGAGACCCCATGTCCTGTCCAGAGGAACAACGGTGCTTTGGCTCCACCCAACAGAGGCGTTGGCAACCCAGATTTTTATGTAATCTCTCATGCATTTTAATTATAGGCAATGAATTCAAATGGATGAGCAAACACTTGTCCACAGGCCTCCAGTCTGCCACCGGGCGCACCCCCACCCACCCACCCACCCACTCCACCAGGCCCGCTAGCAAGGGGGCAGCCTCGCCCCAGCAGAACCGCGCTCCGCTCTCTGCAGGGCCTGGGCACCCGCGGGGAAACTGCCAGACGGACGCAAAGCTGCTTCTGTGAGAAAGGACCTGACAGCTCCTACAGGGAGCCCTCGGAGGCAGCTGTAACGAGGACTCCTGCCCGCTGGGAACGCACACTCCAGACGAGCCCAGAGGCCCGCTCCTGCAATGAGCCGCTTCGCCTGCTCCTGAGAACCCAGCTGCTCCTGCCACTACGGCGCCTCCGAAGAGATGCCCACCTGAGGGCCCCTGACTGCACCCCAGTATCTGGGGACCGGGTCACCTGTGTCCAGGTTCAAGCAGGGCTCTACTGAGCCATCCACGGCTGGGAGCCCAGGCACCTCAGCCAGCACCAGCCCTGAGCGCTAGGAAGAAACAGCTACTAGGTTACTTTTCAAGTATCCTCGTGCCTCCCCAGCCCCGTGCCTGCACAGAGCCCTGCACCCGGGGAACGCCCAGCCCTCCCTGCTCCCCGGATGCTTGGTGTAAGGGGCCTAACGGAGCTTGTGGACTGGCTTTCTTGTGGCTAGGGGCAAGGCATGCAGCGGTAATCACCCAGGACAGAAATTATCCAGGACAAAGATCTTTGAAGAACACAAAAATCCACGCTCAGGAACCATCGAGCCCACCACCGGCTCTCTCTCCGTGGGGCCTTAACCAAGAACCACAACCTTTCGAGCCTCTGTGTCCTTGCCTATAAAAGGAGGATAATACTCTCTCTGCCCGCAGTGCTGGGTTTTAGGAAAGCCCATCTTCTGGCTCCGTCTCGTTACACCTGGCAATCTGGAAGACTGAACACCAAGGGGTTAACAGGGCCGCCTCTGGGTGTGTGGTCCTAGCTGTTTCCTCCTTTCTTCCTTTTGGTTATATTTTCCAGGAGGACATGTAATGCCATTGTCACGAGAACCAAAGTTATCTTTGTTTTTACCCAGTACCAGCCCAGGACGTGGTGGGGACAGAGGAGATGGCGGGGCGGGGCAGGGTGGGGTGAGCAGGGTGTGAGGCTGGCTTTTACCCAGCACCTCCTGCAGCCTCGCCGGGTGCCCTGCTGCTCAGCCGCGGCGCTGGTCCTGCCGAGGTCCGTGCCTGCTCCTGTTTCCTGCACCAGGACCCCCAGCCTCCATCAGCTCCCAGTGATCACCCAGTTCCCACATTCTTGGGGCCAACTGTCTTTCTGGCAAGTCTGCTCAGCGACCCTGTCGGGGACGCTTTATTTCTCAGCTCCATCCTACAGAGGAGGAGACAGAAGCTCAGGGAGGTTCCCAGGCCTGCCCAAGGCCTCACAAGGAGTATGCTGCAGAGTTAAGACTCGAACTCAGGACTTGAGCTGGTCCCAGGTTACCACACTGCCTCCCAAAGAGAGTTCAGCTCAGGGGCCCGCCTAGAAGGAGGTCTCAAATGTCCTTGACCTTTCGGCCTCCTCTAGGCCCAGGAGAGGAGCTGTACTTAACGGGTGTTGCTCTGGCTCTAATATCTCACCCCCTAAATGTCCTCAAATGTCCCCTGCCTGAAGCGGGCCATCCTCGGTGCTGAGACAGAAATCTTGCCACCTTGCAGGGGTCAAGGCTTTCTGCTTGGGTCCCAGGCAGGGTCCTGGTTCCATCCCTGGGCTCCAGCCTTTCTAACATGCACTGCCCACAGCTTTAATCACTCACATCCTGGACAGAGTCCTGCTGTTCAATTGCCAAATTTGGGAACAAGCCTGGGGCTAGCAGTGTGCGTGGAATAACCACATGGCCCCCAGCGGGCTCTGGGCCCTGTGGGTTCAGGTGGGGGTCGGGGGAGGCAGAAGAGGGTCACCTTGAGTTGTAAGCATATTCACAGATGGAAACCTATGTACAAATTCTCTCTGAGGGTGAAGGGCAAAACCAGGTGTGAGCGTGGGGAGAAGCGCCCCAAGGGAGGAGCTTTGCTGGCAGACGGAGGTAGAGGGGCTGCTGTCTTGGGACAGGAAACCCTTGACTCCTCCCACAGGATGAGCAGGGCCATCCTCCACCACGGTTACTGTATTTTTTGGCTTCTGGGTTTGTGTTTTGCAGCTTATCTCAACCTCAGTGCTATTAATTCACTAGAAAGTGGCCCCACCCTCCCCCACCCCCTACCCACACTAAGATTTTTGAGGGGCAATGTTAACAGGACCCCAGCTGTGTTCTTCAGCAGGTTTTATTCTACCTTAAGACCTTACTCTACAGGAATACATGCCCATTTCATAATATACATATTAAAACTCTATATACACTACGTATTATATACTGTAACTCAGGGAGGAAGTCTGTTTTTTCCATATGAATATTCATTCCACACACGAGGTTTAGATACAAAAAATAAGAAGGACAAAGTGAATCCTGACATTCTGACTGTGCCTGGATAAATCCCACCCTGTGGGCTCATCTTTCTTCCTGAGGACCCCAGGCTCTGTCCCCCAGCATGAAGCACTCTGGGGTCTCACTAGAGAATGTCCAGGGAAGGCCCAAGGAGTGTAGTGCTGGGGCAGAATGCATGTCCACAACCTGTCAAGTCTTTGCGGGTTCATATTTGAATGAACCATGTGAACCCCAAGGGAAGACCCACCAGGAGCTTCTACAGTCTGTCTCTCTCCTTCCCTCTCCTCCATCTCTGTTTCTCGCTTCTCATCTCCCCGCACCCCTGCAGGTCTGGCAGGACCCGGTAAGCCCAGCAGTATCAGGTCTTTGCTGGGTCTTTGGCACCAACGCTCACCGTCCCCCTTCTGACTACACCATCCCCTTCTTCCCAAGTCCCCTACAGGCCCCAACCTGGGTGCTGCCACCTGATGTCCTTGTCCTCAGCCTCCCCATCATCCCAGGATCCCAACTCAGACAAGCAGAGTCTTCACTTGCCTTGAGGGGCAGCATGACCCTATCCTGCCACTAGGCCACTGTGTCCTTTTAAGGTGACTGCCACTTTCTAGGATTCCACTTCTTTATCATGAAAAGAAAACAAAGAGTTTGGCTCATAAACACTGAAAGCCCCACCTGTAACCTCCAGCCTTAACCATTTCTCACTCTGATCATCAGAGTCACACTAACTAAGTGCTAATGGCTGATAAAGACCCAAATCTGCACAGCAACTTCTCCCCCAGATCTCCATTAATTCTGGTCCCACGATGCCTCATTTACCAAGCAATAAAATACTCCTTCATGGGCCTAATAAAATGTTGTCACGTTTTTATTTTATTAAAGTTTATTAAATTAAATTTATTAAATTTTATTAAAATTTTAAAATTAAACCTATCATCTGCTATTATATTCAATCCATAAAAGAAAGGAAAATAGGACGGCATTAGTTATCTATTGCTATTAAGGAAAAAAAATGTTTTTAACTCCAAAATTTAGTGGCCTAAAATAACAACCACTTGTGTGCACAGAATTCTGTAATTTGGGGTTTTCTCACCTGGGGTCAACTCATGCAGTGAAAGTCATCTGAAGGCTCGACTAGGGCTGGATGGTCCAAGACAGCCTCCCTCACTGTGTCTAATGCTCCCCTGGGCTGCTGGGTAGGGAGCCTCAGTTCCCCTCTATGTGGACTCTCCGACTGGAGATCCCAGAAGTCCTACACAGAGGTGTAACAGGTGAGTGAGTCCCAACACACAGGTGCTCATCAAACCTCTGCTGGCTTCATGTTTGCTGACATCCTATTGGCCAAAACAAGTCACATGGCCAAGCCCTCAGTCAAGGTGGGAGGAGACCACACAGGGTGTGGGTACCTGGAGACATTTAATGTAACAACCTACCACAAGGGCATAATATCAGAAATTCTCTTTCTTGGATGGAATAAATTTAGCTTCTTGAAAACCTGCTACACAGTCATCTGTGTAACTTCCTCACAGACCCATTAGGCTTCATTCATCAGAGCCATTTCCAGCCCAGAGGCTGGCATTTGGAAAACACAGCTTTTATCAATTATCACATTCTTTCCAACTAGCCAGAGGTGGCCTCAGAATTCTTCTCAACACAGCATTCCAGATTCCTCCCAACTGGTCAGAGAGGGCACACAAAATTTAAGTCACTTTTCATCACTTACCTAAAGGCTTTATCTTCAGAATATCAATTATCTTTTGAAAGAGGACATTGGAGAAGAAATGCTTAACCCAAAGTAAGATGGCAGCAACTCCAGGCACTGTGGCAAGTGGCAGATGTGGGGGGTGGTGCCTTCCCCCTTTCTCAAACCACAACCACTAGGACCCACTTTAATGTTCTCATGTGCTGGGCAACACATCTCTGCACAGCCCTGGCTCTCTGAGCACTTCACACAAATGCCTACTCTCATTTCAAGTAGGTATCACACAGCCTCAGCCTGGCAGTGCTGCCCAGCCCTGGGCCCGACCTCTGCACCCTATGGGCTCCCCCCTCCCTTCTCAGAGCCAATGAGGAACCAGGAGGGAAGGGCTCTCAAGGCCCCACCCCAGCCCCTGGCAGGTGAGAGCCCCAAGGTGCAGGCTTGGGTCATATCAAAGAGAGAACCTTGGGGGTCCCTTCATTAATGGGCAAGGTCTCGACCTTGGGATCTTCACCAACTGAGGTGGGCCCTCCAAACCAGAAGGATCCTGCATGCAAGAGTTCTGGATGACAAAATCCTCCCATCTGAAAATATCCTATGTTAATGTGGTTGTGGCTACAATGACTACACATTTGTCAAAACTCACCACACTTATACCTAAAAGCGTAAGTTTCCCCTTTTGTAAAGTACACCTCAATAAATGTGACTAAAAAAATCTCCCCAGTAGGGAACCACATCACACCTGCTTAGCCAGTCTCACCCCCTTAAACAAGCTTTCGGAGCACCTAGTATGTGCCGTGGATGGT